GAAATGTGCAAGGTTTTAGTTGGACTTGCAAAAAAAATATTCTCAAAAATTATATGTACAGTAGTTTAGGATAAATTTGTACCATAACTTGTGAAAGATGGATGGCTGTGTATATTCGCATCAAAATAATACCTTATGATTATAAATATGCATATGAAGTAATAATTTATCATCTCTTTGAGCAGTAAGTAATAAATTAACAAGATCATATAGTTATTTTATTAATTTTCAAATGTGTAATTATGTTCACACTCACTTTGGAATTCACAGTTGTAAAATGTGTGCTATGAAATATGTTTCATGCCAAGGTACAGTGAGTTTACATTAACATGGTTGTGGTACAATATCATGAACCACAGTAGTGGTTCATAATAGGGATTGCCCATTTGTTCTTCTTTATTATTATTTAATATTGTTCTGCCAGCCTACAGCAAAAATGGCAATGAGTATTGTAATAAAACCTGGGCATTATTACTAATCGCATCATTGTGTATTTTGTAGGGTACTTTTTAACTTTATTTGACTACCTAGCAAATAACAGCAGCTGTATAATTGTTGACACCCAGTTATTTTAATGTAGTCTGTGGTTTACGTGGAGTCTCATAATCTACTGCATACATATGTATATAGCTGTGTGCGGGCCATGGTTGTAATTTAATGTTGATATGGCAGGTGTGACACATGTCTATAGCAATTATTAATTTATTGTTGCAATTGTATTGATGTCATGTATCCTTTGTTTATGTATAGCGTTTCTGCCCTTTCAGACATGATGCTGCTGATAGGATCACAGTTTTTCTACCACTGTATGATTAATTTCGGCTATGTTACACAAATATCTAAAACATTACACAAATGTCTAAAACATTGTACAAATATCTAGGCTGTCTTTCACAGCAGTAATCTCTAAGCCAAAGTTTAAAAGATAGCACCAAGCTCAATTTTGAGTAACAAATTGGCAATAACGGTGATAGCTGATAGTAAGTGTTGAGTTATAGGCAACACTGCGTGATTGCGAATCTTTTAGATACTGCAAACAAAGGTGAGGCAGAAATTTTGTAACTACATATTTTATTTAGAAAATATTTCATTTAAGATAAAGTATGCAGGAGCGATGGTACACCAGAGTTTAGGGTCATCGCAGTGGAAGAGGGTGGTAGAAGTGTCACGACTGAAACTCCATTAGAAATGGAGGGGGAGAAAGGTATGTTAATATGATCAATTCGTAATTATTAATTAAGATGTTTTTGATCCTGTAGAGTGTGCAGAATGTCACTCTAAGAGGAAAATCTGGTTAGCTGCAGTAAAACTGTGACAGGCCTTACTATGGCTAGCAGAGAGGAAGAGGAAGGGGGAAATATAACAACTATAAGAAATATTGAAAATGCTGATTAGTGTACATATGCTATTATATTATGACACATTGTTTTATATTTGCATTGAATATATATATGCTTGCATCTGTGCAACTTGAAAAATTCATATCACCATCTATATATATATGGGTTTACAACTTAAAACAAGAGGGAATTCTCAATAGCTGTGACACTTGCAATTCTTTTAGGCAAGATTAGAGTAAATTTATCTGAGACCTTTTTATTAGCTATATTTTTGTGCACCAGCAATACCAATGATGGGGTGTGTGCATACTCGATACCATTTTATTACTCATCAGGAACTGTACCAACTTACCCTCAAATTGAAATTCTTTTAGGCAGGATTAGAATAAATTAATCTATGAGTCATTGGGCATGGTGAAATAAATCAGTTGAAAGGGTTTGACTTCCTGATTCCAAAACTGTAATTAGATCTCAAATTTGTCAAGAGATGACAGAGCTATGAGTTAAAAGTCTATACTTGATAAACTCGTGGCCATTCTATGCTGTGGTTAAAAACTATAATACCTGCATTTATTTATATAGATATAAATACTAGCCAACAAGCATCACATTTGCATGCATGTATAAAAATTATGCAGTTACAAAATCCAGTCCATGCACCATTCTGTTATAGTTCAGTAGTTTACAGTATTTATAGACTCCTCATATAGCTAAGGGGTATAAATATAGTAGCTATATATATTTCACAAGCATATGCATAACATGTGGTATGTGGATCACCATGCGTCATAGTGATCATACATGCAATACCACTATCAATGACAATATTGTGGCAATGATATCAGGAGTAATAGCCATCCAATCCACACGAAGGTTGTTGTTGTTTCCAGAGAGAGCATCATACAACAACTACATATTTCATTAAACTAAACTGTTTCAAATAGGACAGTATTGATATTATAGAGATTCATGTCCATGATGGACATACAAAATATAGAAACAAGATTATTAAAAATTGTTAATTTAAAAAGGGAGGAATAGAGGTCTTCAAAGAATTACAGAAACAAGATAGGTAGATTAAAGTGGAAATACGGTTGCAAAAAGAAGTAAACAAACAAGCTTAAGGTTTGATACATAGTGTTGACATTATTTTCTCCAGCCACAAATCCGTATTCTGATTTTATGTCTAAAAGTTGTAATATTTAGGAGAGCCGGAATGGGGATTTTCACTTTAAGCTACCTATCTTGTTTCTGTATTTTTTTTGAAGAACTCTATTCTCCCTTTTTAAATTAATAATTTTTACTAATCTTGTTATCATGTAATTGCTTGAAATTTATCTTATTTAGAATGTCTCTTGTACAGAAAAATAAAAATTACATCTTTCTTAATGGTAACTTAGTTTATTCCTTGAAGAAAATCTGCTGGTTAGTTTTTAATACCTCTTTGAGAATTGTAAATATTGTAATTTTGTATATCTTTTCTTAAGAGAATATGCATATAATCTTATGTGTAAAATCTCACAGTTTAATAGTAGTACCTCATATACTCTCATTTCATTAAATTTTGCAGAGAGTTCCATGAAGTTAAGTACAAGCATAACTGTTAGAATTGAGTTCTGTTTGTTTTGTTTTAAGAATAATTGATTGGATTTATGCTAATAAAATTCTATGAATATATTTTGACACTATTTTAATTTAGGATTTAAGCAGTAAGTTAAAAGTCACTATAGAGTTGTTTAAACAACTTTATTCAATTATATACCAGCTGCCTAGTGTCGGCTAACAATACAAAGAATTAAATTGTGGCAGAATGCTACAAGTTCTTCAAATACCTATAGAATGATAGGTTTCTTTTTTGTGAGTGTAAAACACTTAAATACACCATTTCGATTCACTATAGAAGTTTGTTGTTGTGGTTAATGTTTCAAAGAAATTTTTTTCAGTTCTCAGTTTCTTATAAAATTCAAGGAGTAAGACTATCATTATTTTTTAAATATTTATGCTAAAGCATCTGTTTTAATATTGGTATGTTTACTAACATATTTCAGAACTTGGAGGAATTTGTTCATTGAATAAATTTCGTTCAGATATGATATACAGACATTTATATGAACAAGCTGTTTTTAAATGTACCTAATCATACCTGAAATATTCATCTTCATTGCAAATAGTGAATTAGATTTTTCACATTTGAATTTTAGTTTTATAATTTCTATTTTCCAAGGTTAAGTATAATGTTTTGCATTTGAAGCTGTTTTTTTGCAAAGGGTGTTTTACATTTTTTCATATTTGAAATTAGATTTTATTTCGTTTGTAAAAGGTAGTTTAATTTCTTCCAAACTTGAGTCTTTCTCCTTATTTTTGTTAAGGGTGACTTAATTTTTTTAAGTCTCCTCAGTGTGTCAACAGTAACATTTAGTGCTTCTACTATTAAAATTTAGGATTTAATTACTGCAATGGGCTCAGTGCAAGTAGCCCATTGTGCAGCTTTGTCCTTCATTTTTAAACTTTGGTTTTCTTTTTTGTTTACAAAGGGTGAGCTAAATTGTTTCTTACTTCAAGTTAGGTTTGTTAGGTTTTTACTTTTGGGGGGAGCAAAGGGTGAATACTGTTTTCATCTTTGAAGTTTTTTTTTTTTGCAAAAATTGCATTGCTTTTTTCGTATTGAATCTTTTAATAAAAAAATTAAGCTACAATATTTCATGTGTTAAGTTTGAATTTAAGGTAAAATTACACTTTTTTATATTTATTAGGTTTTTCATGCTTTAAATTTGGATTATCCATTATTTTTTGCAGAGAAGAATTAAAATATATACAACTTGATAAAAAAAAAATTTTGTCATAAAGTTTATGGTTATTAATATTTTGAATACAATAGATAAATGAGGGAAAATAAAATGTAGATATATTCAGAATAATTCTATAACTTGCTATAGGTAGATTAGAAATATTTAGTGTTTAACTTTTACTTTATAGGGTAAGTCCAAAATTGTCACTGATTCTCATTATTTTTAGAAGTAAAAGAAGAGGTATCTACAAAGTTAAGCAAAGTAAAATACCCATGTCATAAAAAAAAAAAAAGGAGATTAATATTGTATTTTGTTTATTTCGCAGGATACAAAGATTTGTGAAATTATATTTTCAATATTGTAAGACTTTGAACTCTTCTCTGAGTATGAAAAGTTGATGGGAAACATTTAGATGAGGGGGGTTCCCAAACTTTTTAGCTTGAGACCCCCCAAAGATCTTTGATTCTAACTAAGGTCCTCCATCTAATGATTTAACCCTCTTGTTATTGGCAGGTTAAAGTGTGCATTTCATGATTTTTTCAAGAGTTACATTCAAAATTTTATTGAACTACTTTATTATCATTGCATATGAATAAACTTGACATCAAAACATAGTTAATAAATCAAGTTTTAGTTTTATAAGGAAATATTTTTAAAAATCCTCAGTCTCTCCTAGTATGAGAATTGTGACATTTGTTCCTTATTCTCTCTTCCATAATTTATTTACCATTCCTAGGAAAAGTATGGAATTGAACGTAAATTGCTCATTATGAAATAGATATTACTCAATCAAAGCATAATATTTATAGCCTTCAATCTTATTTGTTTACAAAGCCATAAACTAGAAAATCAGACCCTCTTGTCATGCTCCTCTGTCACATCATCTTTTTCACAAATTGTCACAAGTTTTCTCTAACATTGTATTCTATATTATTTATAACCAATAGAAAGCCACAGTTTTAATCTATCAAATGAAATATCATACTGTCTTACTTTTGGTTAGAAAATTGTTTATTTTACCTGTAGTTTTAGAATTTTTAAAGACTCTTAACACATAGTTAAATAGCCAGAAAAATTACGATAGTTATAGGATATTCTTTACTTTGAGCATGCTATTATTCTGTGTTCATAGGTGCATTGTTTAATTAAGTAAAGTCCCCTAGTGGCACAGTGGGATCTCTGCGGACTTATACTGCTAGGTTTTGATACTTGTGGTGTGCAGAGCACAGATAGGCCTATATGTAGCTTTGTGCTTAATAACAAACAATAACAACATAATTATATAAAAATTTAGTGAAGTAGTTCCATTGGTATAAAAAAGTAGGCTTAAGTTTCACTAACAATTGACAGCAAAAAGCAAGAGGATTCAGGTAAGTACTATATATATCTTGTTCTTCATGTGTATTTATATATTATTTTAAAAGTAACTAAAATGTAAAAAATTAGAAACTTGTTAGGTTAAACTAGGTGAGAAAATGAAAAAACTTAATAAAAGTTCTTTATGATATGCTCATATGGTTCAAAGGGCAATTGAACAGTAAAATTAAGTATAAACAGATATATACCTGTTTAAGCCACATAGGATAAACAATTGTAAATCCATGTTACAATTTGCAGTAACTCTAGAAAGAAAAAAGGGTGATTTACAAGTATATCCTTTTTTGTTTGGAGGTTATGAGGTCAGTCAAATTGACTGATCCCATACTGAGTTCTGGTAGAGGAAATAACAGATAAGATAAAGTTTTTCTGAAAAAATAAAGTTTGAAACTTATTTAGGGTTTTTAGAGATTATGCAAATGAAGTTTCACAATTTTCAGATAAAAGAAAAGTTTTTAATCTTAACAGGAAAATCACTTTGCACCTGGAGCAGTCAAGGCTTTGACTTATTATATTCAAGAACAAATTTCTAATAAAATTGCTTAATTAAAAAATCTGATTTTTGGTGTATAAAAGACTTGTAAGGTTTACAGAAAGTTTGTCAAATTTTGTAAAGATACAAAAAACATTAAAAGCTATGGTATGGAAACTGATAGTCACTTTGGAGTCACAAACTCTGTCAAATCAATGGAACCTATAGTGAGGGAATTATAGAAATTTTAAACAATAGCAAGTCTGAGGTGGTTTACTTTCATTGCAATAAGAAATTTTAAGTGTGAACAACATTTTGCAGTTATATTTTTTGGAATAACTAAAATTCCTGCTGAAAATATTGCTTTGGCCAGGATGATGAAGTATTTCTATATGTGCTGAGGCCTCCTTGAGACAGTCTCGCAGACCCCAGTTTGGGAATTGTTGATTGATATTGACAGTCTTAAAAACATTTGTATTTTGGTCTGTTTAGTGTTATCAAAAGTGAAGGATATTTATATTTAAAAAATTCTTGACATATTCATTTATTTATGCATGTATACTGGCATCCTGCTTGTTTTCATAAGAAAAATAAAAAATTGTACTAGATTTTTTTATCCATACTTAAACATTTCTTTTTTGAATATAACAAAAGAATAATGATTTTAAGTCTAATACTCGAATGTTAAATTTTTGAATAAAGAGTTTTTATTTCATCCTAGATTTTATCACCAAAGTACATTTTTATTTATTTTTTCTTACAGTTCTTTGTACCACACCAGTTACAAAATATGTCAAGGGCAAGTATGAACCAGATAAATCCTACACCTCCAACTGCCCACAACCCATCACCACAGTTTCAGCCACAACTGAGTTATGTGTATCAGCAGGCCCAGTCTTTACCTGGTAACATTCTCCAACAAGCTTCTATGCTTATGCATGGAGTATGTTCAGTTTATATTGTTATAACATTTTAATCTTCTTGTTTACTATTATTTCACAGTTGAAAAACTGCTTAAAAAACCATATTTGTACTTTTATTTGTAACTGTTAGAATTGTATGTACACTTTAGTTATTTGGTTTTTTAGTTCATCATCCCCTTGATACATAACATGGGTAATATAACCAACCATATGCAAAGTATGAAAAGTGCTTGCAAAATATTACCAGTAAGAGCTATTAATATCACTTAAAAGTGATCATGTTATCAATACAACCATGTTGAATGTGATACATGATGTGTACAGATGCTTGGAAATCTTGTTAGTATTTGAAATCAAAATGTTGAAAATAATGCATTTTACTTAGTGTCTAAGTTTAGAAAAAATCCTTGTGAATTGTAATTCTTAATAAAAGTGAACAATCAGTGAGCACATTCTTTGTCTGTCATCATACAGCAGTTCACAAAATTCAGATCTATCAATAAACCCACCTCTGCTTCTCCACTTGTATGACTGTTATTAAATCAGAGTTGAAGAAAGACACACATATCTGAAATTAAAGCCTCTAGCATTGCTCAAGCTTTGCCACAATATTTCTGTGCATAAAGTTTTTGAAGGTTAAGGAGGATTCTATGTTATGTGATATGATAGTTTAATTTTTTAACTTTATGTTTCTAAATAATTAAGGTATTTTGATTGTTTTTACAATTTAGCTGAAATTATTGACCACTTATGTGGAAAGTTTTTAAAGTAAGAGAATAAATGTAAAAGTTGACTCCTTGACCCCCCCCCCCCCTGCTTACAGTTATGTGTGAAAACTGAAAAATACTTGTTGTTGTAAAAGGAAATGAAAAAGAAAATTCAATTATATAACCAGTGTTAAATGGATGCAGTGAAAATTCAGTTGCATCAGTTTTTTTTAATTATTTTTTTATTAGAAAGTCATAACAAAAACAGCAAGCATTTGAAATGATGGCAAGAACTCAGAATTTTACATTAAATCAAATTTGTTTTTAATATTGTCTGTATAGTTTGGTTTTAGGAAAAGTTACTTGTCATTATATCCACTAAAAAACAAAATAATTTTATTATATTTTATGGTATCAGACATCATAAGTCTCGTAAACCAGTGTTCAGAATTTATTGCATTGCTGAGTAGACTTTCAAGTTTCTAATGAGGTGTGTAATTGTAAGATCAACCTGTAAAGCTCTGTTCTTCAACTAATCTGACTTTTAGTAATACATCACTGATAATTTCATACATCTTATTAGAATTTAATGGTTTCCATATACAGATTTCTGTAGAGTTGGCATATAGTAACACCCATTCAACATCTGATCTAATTGTTCTGGGCTTGGTGCAATATAAATCTGAGACTCTATCTGAGAAGAAAAGTCACTATGTAATGTATTTATTCATACTATCTGAACAATGTTACAAATGCTATTCAGCAAAGCGACGAAAATAAACATTTTTGAATTCATAAAATTTTAATTTTCTAGGTGAAATATAACTTGTAGTTTGTAGATATTTCCTGTAATTTAGATCTATGTGTATTTTGTGTGTATACATATATATATAATATATACACAAACATTCACAAATACTTTTTTGATAGTGAGAATTATTCCTTATAACCTTTTAAAATTACTGTCTATTCTAAGGCTTACATTATGCATTATGTATGATATTTTAATATTCCTAAGAGAAAAATGTAAGTTGAAAAATTTGGAAATTCATTTAACAATGTTATTTGAAGTGAAAATATTATTACTTATTTTTTCTGTTTGACCTTGAAAACTACTAGACTGTGATTACATTGTTAGATAAATATATATATCATTAAGCTTGTTGCTTGATGCTAAAAAGGAAGGAGTGAACAGCAAAGTATGCTCATATATTAATTGAACGATATCTTATGCATTATGTGGTTTGTATTGCTTGATATTCAGCTAGTCTTTTAGTATTGGACTTGGTATTGGTGTGCTCTAGTCCTAAATCCTTAAAACCTTGCTGATACTCCTTAAAAGTTTTGGGAGAGTTCTTGATATTTTTATCCTGTTAAGTGTAAAACTCTGATGAAATTCTAACAGCTAACCCCTTGTACTAGGCTTGGCTTGTTAAAATGATCCTTCAGTAATTAACAAATATACCACATATCTAAGATTTATTTTTCTCAGAAATATGCATTTTTAACACTTGCAAGCTAAGAAAGAAATTTGTTTTACCTCTTTTTTGAAAATTAGGCTAGATTTACTGATTGCAAAAGTTTTCTATTTATGCATATATGTGTGTGTATGTGGGAGTTGATTGATGTATCTTATTTGTTTGTTTACAAGAAAACAAATAGCCACAATTAGTTTTATAATGCCAGTGGTATAATTCAGTTTGAAGAATAATACATTTTTCATTTGCTAGCAATAGTCAACACAACCTATCATGTTTGATATCCAAGCACAGAAAAAATAGTTGTAACAAAATCAAAAATATGATTTGAAAATTTTGACACATGTATATTCCTTTAGATCAAATAACTACTCAAACCCATTTAGCCAAGTTTGTTTTAGTTTTGAGATTTTTGAAGAGTGCAGCTGATTTACATTTCTGATTATCAAGGATTTTCTCGCAGATGTTCCAAATTTGCCAATTATTATATCCTGAGCGCTTCAGTCTTAGTAACCTGGAAAAAGTATGACTCTTATTGTGGCATACAAGTGTATTTTATACCATGGGGCGTGGCATAAAGGGCTATGTAACTATATGTCTTTGGAGTTTTAGAGATATATGAAAGTACAAGTTGTTATACCAATCCTTGCACTTACAAATGAAAAATGCATTTTCAGTTTTTGGTTGAAAAGCTAGACATATGCATCTTTACTTTGAGATTTGTGTTGGAACAATTACAAAACCCAGATAAATTATGTAGGAGAAACTTTGTGTAACTTTGAAAACTACCTTAGGTATGTTTGCCTTAAAAATAGCCTAGAAAATGTATGGCAAAGCACAATACAAAAAACAAATTGGCATTTACATGTAAAATATCTGCCTTTATTTGAATTTACTGTATATCAAGACTGTGAGTATTTGACACTTGGCAAAAATACTGTTTTTGTAATATTTTTACTTCCAGTGTTCCAGGTCTCAACAGTACACTACAGCACCACAGTATTCAATGTCTCCAACGCAGCAGACTATGTATATGACACCAGCAAGTCAACCTTACAGCTATAACCAACAACCCCAACAACAAGGTTAGTAAAAAATAGTGATGTACCAAACCTGTATATTCTTGTTGGTGGAAGTATACAGTGTAGTCAAAACTGTGTATCCAAAGTTAACATGTGGATAGCAGTTCTGATATTAAATATATATATATATATGAGTAACCAATCTTGAAGTGATTAAGTAATAGTGTTTGTTTTATGCTTGATTGTACTACTAGACTGTATAGGTTTTTCTTGTTATGGAATAAAAATAAACAAAAAAAAAGTTGTAAAAAATCAGAGAAAAGTTAAGAAACAGAAGAAGATTAAATGGGTAATGTTGAAAAATAACCTTAAAATTAGTTTTATAACTTTTGATCAGCTGATTCACTTGCATATCTATTTTTCTAAAATGTATGTAAATAATAATTAGGAAACATGCTACATTTACACATTTTGACTTGACTTGTATGCAAGTTGAGGCCCTTCAACACCAAAGATTCTTTATCCTCATAGGCTGCTAACACATAACAGAATGTGCTATTAGTGTTAAAGCTCAACATTGCAAATTGTGAAGATAAGATTATTTTTTATACTGTTACTCATGTGCCCTCAGTGGTAAGACTGTTTGCTTACAATACTAAAAGTCAGGTTTCGATGCTTGTGATTGTCAGAGCACGGATTGGCCATTGTGGGGCTTTGTGCTTAACAGCACAACACCAACCCTATCTGATTCATGTTAAACTAATGCTGTTAGCCATTGGGCAAATTCACAGTAGTAGCACTACTATTTAACTAGCAGTTCACAAACAGTGGAAAACTTGCAAATAGAATTATTTTTCAAAATCAGAATGTCCAAGGTGTTACCATCCCAACTTGAACTAATAGTATTAAAACTTATTGTAGAAATTAGATGTGACCTGTTCACACTTTTTATTCCCATCCTCCTCCCTGTTGGCTCAGTGTAAACCTGAGAACTTATAAAATTAAAATTTCAGGTTTGATCGTTCTGGCGGATATGAGTGCACAAATATCTGTGGTGGTTGAAGCAAAGTTCTGAGGATTTTTCTTTCACAATAAGCTAACTTTCATTTCTTACATCAGACAGCTTATAGTCAAGGGTACAAGACTAAGAATATACTCTATGCCTTCTACCTCTTGGAGAGTGGATAGGAATTTTATACTCAAGATCTATTGTGACCTTAGTTGATTGAAGCTGGACTGTGGGTCCATGGTCTGTGCATTGGCTATGGACTATGTTGAAGACGTTTGACTCTGTGCATGATTGAGTTCTTCAACTGTACATAGACTTACCACACTTAAACAGCCCAGAGTTTTTTTTTACACAGAGTCCTATGAGCATCCACTTTATCTTTAATTTTTGCAACTTTCTTTTCAGTTTGCTGGAAAGCCCCTAGGACACTTTCATAGTGTCCTACCTCACAATGTATGTTCATGCCTTAATGGGATCTTTTTTTGGCAAGTAGATGGTCTGATATTATTATTTTTGGCCTTTGTATTCAGGCAACGTTGATGGAATTAGGGCTGAAATAACAAAGTGTTATACATTTGTGTTTATTTTCACTCATAAGTTCTTAGAATTGAATGGCATTGCTAAATACAGTATTCAGCCCATCCCACCATGTCTTGTTATCATCTCCCACTGAAATCTTTCATTGAGTCCTGAGGAACTAGGATATTCCTGACTGGAAGTATTGACTTGTTTTTAACAAGCACTTTTTTGAGCCAACCATCCAGTTCCATTTTTATGAATGGCTAAAATTAAGGGACTCTACCATGATTTGCCGTAACTTTGTAATTGCTCACAGGATCTCCTCTATTGATTCTATGGTCAGTGATGAGTTGTATGCAATTTAAGTTGCTCTAGGACATAAGAAAGCTAAGCATTACTTTAAATGTACAGTTTGTACCAATTTGCTTAGCTCTTGAAAGGGCCATTTCATATTATCATTACTCTATCCAGTTTTTATGGATTCCTGGTGATTTTGGAATAAAAAAGAATGAACCTACTGACATAGGAGCCAAATCTACCTCCAGTGGCAATGTAACACTTCTGCCTATTTGTTACTTGGGTTTCAAGCCTGTCATCAGAACAATGCTTTATGCCAGTTGGAAGGTGATTTGGGGTGAACAACACAATAAGCTTTGAATAATTTAAAACAACACTTGTGTAAAACATCTATTTACAATTAAAAGCAATGTAACATTAAAATCATTACACAATAAATAGTTATCAAAAACAGGGACTTGCCCTAAAAAGACACTAAATATGTTTTGGTGTCCTAGATAAAACCTACTATAGATAATTGGCATTCTAGTTTACTTAGTAATTGGATGGAGGAAGTTGCCCTTGCAAGGATCCACATTGACTGTAATTTTATAGCATATTATTTTTTCATACAAGAGAATGGCCCACCAGTGCATAAGCAGTGTTACACTCAAGTCACAGTTTTCCCATATTGCTTTCATACTGTTGCTAAAACACCAAGTGACATAACTATTTCAAACAGATGTTGACTCATGGTGAACTTTTAGCATGGGATAGTTAGTGACAATGATAACTCTTTCATATAGTCAATGTTTTTAGTTTTTTGCAGGCTATAGCTTTTTAATTTTAACCTTTTTTTAAAGAAAAATAATTATCTATATTCTCTTTTACTTTCATACTCTTTATTTCATTTGTATAGTTGATGTTTAAAAAAAAAGTTGATACAGATAGCTCATGTGGCTTTGCACCATAAGCCAAAGCTTGAAAGGTTGAAAACCTAATTCTGTAATGATTTTCTTTTGAAGCTCAGGCTGATGATATGTTATAAGTGGTGAACAGGTTTTTTTCACTTCAGGCTCAGTTTTGATAATATTATTTAATGTGTGATGTGGGTGTGTCATACTGTGTATTGCTTATTCTAGTATATTATCCTGTGGGACCTCCAAACATGGCTGCTGTACCAAGAACAATGCCTCACATGGTCCATAGTGGCAGTGGGACAACAGAAAAAAGAGAGAAGAAGATCCTTGCTGTCGTTGATCCAGTAACTGGTCAAGACATAATGCCAGAAATTATTAGTCATTCCTGTTTAAAGGTTAGGCTATAGCAGTTATATGGATGAAAACAGTTAATATACTTAAATTGTGGTTCATTATAGATTAGTGGTAATTTTTTGTATAGATTTTAAATGTCATGAATATTAACAAAATAAAAACTGAATCTACCTTATCTAATTTGTTTAATCTAGAATAAGTTTGTAATGTATTAGAGCAAAATGATATTTAATCTTATTTAGTGGAAAATAAATCAAATTTTGTGGCCTAATAAGATTGGCTTTAATTTGTTATATATCAGTAATATTTAATATGAAACAATTTTCCATATATATATATAAAGCACAAAAATATGTGTCTGTCTGTTTGTCCATGATCTAACTACTCATAGGTAGCTGGGCCAATCTCAACCAAACATTGTGGAATGACAGTTTGGAACAAAAAAACATGTTAATGGAAGGTTCACAAACTCCTCCACCCCGTATTATTGGTGTTTTTGAGCATATATTATCTTTGATGGAAGTTAACTTAACTACATTCATAGATGGTACTACATCCATATACCAAAAAGAATGTAAACACAGTATGAGGGAGGGCACACAAAGATTTATATATATATCTCAACGAATGCACTAGCACTCTGTCTGGAGGAATGCAAAGAAAAAAAATGGATCCTATTATTGCAATACTATGTTGCGTATCTGCTAGTTTGTTAATTTCTGTTTTAAATTCTTTCCGAGGAACTTCAGCAATACAAGTCCCTTCTGGATTAAAACTAGTTTATTCTTTCTCGATACAACTTTGTATTTGAAAAGAAAAAAAGGCACAAGAAAAACATTACTTAAAAAACCTAAAAACTTGATAAAAAAAAGTTATATATTGTGTACAAAAGCCTTGTAATGCTTACTGATAATATGCAAAATGTTGTTAAGATACCCTTACTAATTTAAAAGTAATAGCTTGAAAACGATAAAAAGCACAAAATGGGACCGAGTCTGTACTGAGAGAGTTAATGTTGATAATGGTGGGCCTAGGGGAGACATAAATTTTGGCAGATTAGGAATCATCTTCAGCTGAGACAGTTTTATTTTCTTAACAGACTGGTTAACCTCTGGAATGGATTGCCTTCAGATGTGGTAGATGCAGTTAATTTAAGGAAGTCTAAGAGAAAGGTTGATAAATATCTGAATCATAAGAGCTGGCTTGGAGTTTTATGTTTTTTTATTATTTAGTGGATAAGACAGCCTAGATGGACCAGTAAGTCCTTTGTTGTTCTAAGATTTTATATGTTAAGTCCAAAGGTAAGCTACGTGTAAGAAAAAATGAGTGAATGTATATCATTCTTCTCAGATGTGCAGACCATGGATTGTTTGGCATTTAGATTAGAAAAAGAGGTCAATAAGTATGAAGATGATGCAACAGTAGCATAGTTATAGTTTTAGAAATTTTTGGACATAAATTTTTCTGTTTTACATCATAAGATAGTCCTTTTATTGCTTTATTTGTACATTTATTTAGATGTGATTAATGACGGATAATTATCTGTGGCCACCAGATACTAACCATGGATGGTAGGAAAACTAAGAGAATCATTATGTGCAATTCACCAGTGTTTTGTGAAATAAGAGGATGAAAACAACAATTTTATTACATCTAATAAATATTCTAAGCTTTCAGATCACAATGATTTGTGTGTGTTTTGGGATGGGGAAAATTTAACAACAGCTTCTCAAACCAGTGCAAATTTTGTTGTAGATGATGTTTTTGCAAGTTATTAAAATTATCATTAAGCATAGTTTTCTGCTATTTTTATTTCTATTTCACTTCATTGAAGTTTTGTTGATCATTAAAACTTAAAACTACAGTCAGGTTTTGGCTTTGATCTGGATAGGGTAAAAGCACATTTAAATTTAACTTAATAAATGGAAGATCATTTTATTGGTCAGTTTTCTTTACCAGTCCATATTTGTTAATGATAAGTTTTTATAAAGCTTAAGGTATTTGAATTTGTTAACTCAGATAACTTTATATATTTTTCAGGAGAGTACTACTCAAACAAATGTTGTAGCTGCTCAGTTTGCTTCCCAAGTTGCTGCTCTTGTAACTGCTCCGAAAGAAAACACTCCACCTAAGGCAGAAACTGAAAGATCAGAAAAAACACAGATGCCAAAAGTGTTACCTCCAGTGAATTCAAGTAATGGACTGAAAACTATACCTGCTGTTATAGAAAGCAAAACCACACTCACTGATATCAACAGCGAGTGTGATATACGTGTTCCTGTCCATTGTCACACTGAAGTTGCTAATGTAATTGCTAATGGTGTCACTGCAGTTATTCTAGAACCAGAATCAGTAGTAGTGTTACATAAATTAAATGAGAATTGTGTACCAGAGACAAATTTTAGTAGCATTGTTCATACTTCAAAAAATTCCATTAAAGTGAGCCAAGAACAGCCAAATGAGAATAACAGAATAGCTGATGAAGTGGATAAAGAGGTAGTCAATATCAGTGAAGTTATAAATTCATGCCCTTCTTTATTAGAGAAAGATAATATCCAAGTTTCTGTCTCTGTGGAAGATGACTATCCTGCTCTTCAAGAGGAACCCACATCAACTAGTGGACCAACAGATATTGAATCAAATGAAAATCATGTGGAACAACAAGTGAAAAAGGAAGTTGTTGTAGAAGTAAAACAAATATCAGATCTTGAGTTTCAAAAAGAAAGTCTCAAGCACAATGGTGAAGTGACAAAACATGACCTTCCTGAAGTAGGAAGAGTTGGTAAGTCATTAATGTTTTAAGTCTGTTAGGTTGTTACAGATAGTTTTCAGAGATAAAATGGCACAAGAAAGCTAAATTTGTATTTGAGCTTAGGAAGAAATTTTTAAAATTCTATATTTTTGAGAATAACAGCTATGTATAAACAGATGTCTTTTTAAATAATTCAAGAAATAATGAATTGGCTAATGTATATTTTTGTTTGTCATTTAATTAAATTAACAACCCAGCAAAAGTGTCGAACAAGCCTAATGGCAATGTGCATTGTCTCAACAGCATGTACTAGAAACACCGATAATTGGTTCTCTATAGCCAAATTTTATAATAATTATTTCTCAATGAATTGGCCTTTTTATTATTATGTAAGCTGATTTCAAAACTTAATAGAGGTATCTGGGAGTGTGTGCATGTATATGTGTGAATTAATTGTCACAGTTACCAAGTGTAAAAAAAGTGGTTTTGTTATGCCATCTCGTGCTAAGGTAAAAACAAAAAAATCTTATTCTAAAAACATATGAGTGAAAGCAAAGAAGAATTTGTTATAATATGTAAACCATATTACATCTGCAATATCGTGTGCTGATGAAACCTTTCACCCATTACCAGGGCTCATTGGGTTAGTTTGGATATGACAGAAATAGTAGTGGCGTAGGTGCTACTTAGTTTTTATGAACAACTGTTATGGTGTAAATTAGGTTAAGTAAGTGAATTGTAATTATTATAAATATTTATTTAACTCTTTCGACACAGGCTCAGTCCCTGGGACCGAGTCATGTGACCTTCTGTAATCGTTTAAAGTTGACATAAATTTAATACTTATAACTCTATATATATATATTGCGATTATCTTCATGAAATTTGGCAGTCTTTCAGTTAAAATTACAAGTCTTTCACATACAAAAAGTCATATTTCTTAGTGAAATACTTTTAATAAAATAAAGTTTTGCATATTAATATATTGAGTATTTGTTTTGAATAGCCCATGTGCAAAGTAATTTTCACTAAATCCTTATAGTTTGTATGTTATTTTCTCTACCCTAATCTCAAAACAGGATCGGTCAATTCGACCAACCTCGTAACCACTCCAAAAAAATCAAAATACACCTAAATTAACCTACTTTTCTTTCTAGTATGACTTCAAATTTCAACATGAAACTACATTCGTTTATCCTAAGTAGCTCTAAGTTTGTAACATTATACATCTATTTATAATTAAATTGTATTGTTTTATTCCCTTTGAACTGTGTCTAACTGCTATCTGCACCATTATAAGTTGTAAATCACTCAGGGAATGTGTAGCTCACATTACGCTATCGAATTATACCACCCACGAGCTGCTTGCGTGTATGCTACGTGAACAATTTTAATTATATTATTATTATTATTACTTATTTTACCAATTCTAGTCTTAAATAACTTAAAAAGATCCATACTTTTAATTTTAGTTACTTTTATAATAATAAATAAACATTAAATATGAAAAACAAGAAATAAAGTACTTTCCCAATCTTCTTTTTTCTTGCCTTCGATTGACGATGAGAGTTAAGCCTGATTTTTTTTAGAGTTATAGTAAAGCACTTATCAATTTTTACTTAATTAAATAATACACCAAAGAATATAGACTAATAACATGCAAAAAGTAGACAAAATCAATTACTTCTAAAATTTTCCTGGCTTTCTAACTATGCGACAAGAGCCGTTAGAAATTCATCCAAGCTAGTTGTTAACTTTCCCACAGGAAC